AGGAGTCAGGCTTTCAGGATCAGAATCTTATATCACATTAATGCCCCAATGTGTTACTGATCTCAGTACTGACACAGCCCTCATCACTGTAGTTGGCTGAGCACTTCATCATTATTATTACTCAATTTTATCCTCACAGGGAATTTAATACTCCCATTTTCTCTATAGGCAACTGTCATAGGGCAAGAGTCACACAGAAGGCTAGCGTCCAGATTTGAGCCCAGTTTTCTGGGATCTTAGGATACTGCCCTACCCAGTGGTCCCCCCTTCCTAGTTTTTTTCCTTTTTGTGTCTGGTGAATCTGGCACTTTCTGGATCTCTGAAGGCAGCTGAATGATCCAAGAAAAAAAATGCTGAATGTGTGTCCATAAATCTGAAAAACAGGCCTTTGAATATGCCAAAAAATAACAAAGTGGTTGCCACTGCCATTTCACCTTTAAGTCAGTAAGAAAAAAAATATAGAAACACTGTGGGATAAATATGGTAAATTTCTGTGTAAGGCGCAGTGGTCACAAAATTAAAATATTGGGTGTTTTATTACATGTGTGAAGCCTCCTGTTTTTTCTGCCTTATACAGAAAGGAATCTATTTCTGAACTAAAATTTCCCCAGCACTGAGCAACAATAAATATACAGATTTTTTTTTACAAGGGCATCTTTGCACAACAAACCCTCACCCTCTCAGGCCTACCTACCAACAGGTGAGAGCTATAAACACAAAACAGTGATATAGGGGGAGAAAAGCATATTTTAGCTCCTTTGAAATGCATTGAGCTGAAGGGGTATTCGGAACAGAAGGAGTGGGGAAAAAAACAAATGGAAAATATTTGCTTTAAGTTTGTTGTGTCCTATGCACCATCCAGGCTTAGCCCTTGCCACCAGGCACTGGAGTTGGTTTGGCTGCTTTGACATTAGAAATATGGGCATGCCAACAATTAAGGAGCAGCAGATATGTGAATTCCCTGAGGTCTCTGCCATGCCAGTGAAAGCTGAGCTCACTCCTCTGCCCTTTTTATTTATGTAAGCAAAAGCAGTTTTCTGACACAGAAAATATTGTTTGTGTTTCCTTATTTTGTTTTCTAAACTGTTAACTCCCTCAAGAAGTTGAGGTTGTTTGAAGTAGCTAATAAAAGCTCCCATAATGTAATGTTTTATTTTTTGTTGTTGCATGGTGTGAGTTAATGATGACTTGTTATATCAAGTTACCTTATAATTATCTTAATGAACCACTATGGAGTTAGGTAAAGGGCTTCCAAGAGAAGCACTGTGGTCCAACAGACTGAGCATGGTTTCTGGAAGTCAGGATTCACTAAGTTCCCATCTTGGCTCTGCCATTTTCTCTCCAGGGGCCTTATGTAAGGATTTCATTTGCCCAAAGTTTCAGTGAAATCAGGGGATGATTTAAACGTGCCGAGTGTAGGAATAAGCTGAGAGCGATTACATAAATATTGAAGAAATACTGAACAATGTGAAAAGAACATTGGATTCCAGCTCCACTACAGACTCCATATGTAACCTTGGGAAAGTCATGTTGCCTCCTTAAGCCTCAGTTCCTCATCTGTTAGTTGAGGGTAGTAATACTTCTTTCCTCCACGCTGTATTTTGCCTTGTCTATATAAATGATCAATACTTATCTTACGATAGCCTAACACACAACACAAAGGGGCTCTACAATCTTGGTTGGAGTCTGTGGAGTCTAATACAAATAATGGCAGTAGGTAACTATTGCTGAAATAAATAACAAAATGCATTGTGTAATCTCTAGTAATGAAACCTCTCAACTTGAGAGATGAGTGGCCCTTAATTGGGCCCGGCGTTGATTAGAATAAATTACTTTGTTTCTCTGCCTCCACTATTCAAATTGAGAAATGAGAAGAAACCTTACCTGTATCACTCCTAGAAAAGATGAGTTAGTGTGGCACCTGGGATCTCGGCTCTGAATGAAAGCGACAGTCTAACCTCGCTGTGTATCCACATTCTGTTGTACATTTCTGCAAGCCATCTGGAATTTTTCTCTGCTTAGTATTTTCTGTATGTACCATATGTTTTTACATGACAATTCAATAAAATATGCATTATACATGAAAACTGATGGAATAAATAAAGAACAGTCCCTTTTGTGAACTGCACAGGACCCAAAACTTTATAAGAGGTTCAGTCTGGTCCGAAGTAAGATGCCTCCCTCTGATTTATGCCAGGTCAGCTTTGGGGAGAGCCTTTAATTTGAAAGGAACTCTGCTTTGCTAGGAAGGTTCTTAGATGAGCTTTTGCTGCTCTCTGCTGAGAAAATTGAATAATTACATAAGCAGCCTCTTTTAGTTTTCTAAGAAAAATGGTGAGCAAAATTGTGAGCACTGCATTTGTGTGTGTCAGGCTGAGGGGAATTAACTTTGTTACTTGTCACACAGCTCTCCTTATCATTTTCCAGGATTTGTTGCTTCTCCAAACATAAGCCCCTTGGAGGCGGAATAAGTTTTGTATCTTTCTGGGGTTGTTGCTTGTATCTTTCTGGCATCCTTTGTCAATGGTAAACTGTTCTGGATGCTTGCAGGGTTACATCCATGTGAGCCAAATTGTAGTTTGCTACCCAAGGATCAAATGTCCTGGCTTTCCACAAGGGTTCATTGTGGGAGGGAACAGATCTCTCCCTACAGCTAGTCACTTACTACTACAACCTACTGCCAGTAGCAGCAGTTCCTGCTGCTGCTGGATTTTGTCAAAAAGGCATCCTGGTGGTACCTTTGTTTGGCCTTTCCTCAAATCCTCCACCTTGCCATAATTAAATTTGCCTTGCCAAACCATTCTCTGATGCAAAAGGGTCCCCCTCGTGGCATCTCCAGATGTTGCAGCTCCAGCATTTTTCTGTTGCTTTCTGAGCCTTTTCCAAGTACAAAAGGGGAAGGATCCACAGTTTCTAAGCAAAAATATTTGTGGCTAGGGATGCTCACCATCTAACAAAGTCTTCATGCAAACGGCAGTTTATATTTAAAAAGAACATCACTTTGTTTGGGATCTTAATATTTGTTTTCTCTGCTTTAATAACTTCCAATATGTGGATTCATTATTCTGTTTAACTGTGTAGCTGTAGCACATTCCATGGCTAGGGATATGCTATACATTTATTTATTTACAACCAACATTTCTGTATTTTTATATGTTTTTTACTTATTATTTTAGATGGGAAAATTACCCAGCAAAATACAGATGACTTACAAGCAAATAGAAACCCATTGCCTGGGAAAATCTAATACCAGTCACTTAAATGTGAGGAAAGTTAACAAGCACTTCTTCCCTCCTTTCCTTCTTTCTAGGATGTCCCTGACTACCAAAATGTGCAAGAACTTGCTTACCTGGATATGGTGATTGCAGAGACCTTGCGCATGTATCCCCCTGCATTCAGGTATGTGTTTTGCCTCTGTCTTCCATAGAGTAAGTCATTACTTAAACATGATAGAAATTTCTGTTTGGAAGCCAGACTCTTGGTTTCCATGCAAACAGCAATACAGCTCAGGTACTTGCGAGAGATTGTGTGTGGCCCAGTGAAAGGCTGCCAGTTTATCTAATGCAAAATTTCAAAGCCTGCTGGCAAGGAGTCCCTTTCACCACTCTTCAGGTCCCTGAGATCAGGGGATATGGTCTATATGAAGCAGAATGAACTTCGAATGTCATCTGGCTTTTCTTTATTGTGTTCCAGGCTTCAGTAATTCTGGAGTGTAGACTTTCCTAGTCCATTCTCTCAGTACGCCAGTTACCCTGAAATGTATTAAAAGCCCTGATCTTCTGAAGATTGTGCATGTCACTTCGCCACATTCAAAAAGCTGCATTGTACTATGTGTATGGCTAATTCTGTTCTAACCTGTTCTGCATTAATAAGATGCGTCTACACAAAACACTTTACAGTGCATTAGACTAATCTAATGCACAGTAAAACATTGGCATCTACATGTGCACAGCAATTACTTCACAGTAAATTAGTCTAATGCGCCGTTTTCTAGTGCCTGAAGATACAGGTACTAGAAATTGGCACAATAAATTAATGTGCCGAAGTGCACGTGTAGATGCTAACTGGGAGCAAATTGTACCCGGTCAGCCTAGGCAGTGGGGGGCCACAGGGGACAGGAAGAGCTGTCCTTGCTCAGCAGGACAGTGCCTCCCAGCTATGAGGAGATCAGGATGGGTCCTGATCTTCACATACCTGGGAGAGGTGTCCTGGCTGCTGGGCAGCTGCCTCCCAGCCACGTGGATATTGGGATGGGTCCGCCCCTTGGAGATTGGGACCAGCCCCTGTGCCTCCTGCCAGGCTGGAGCTGGCATCTGAGCCTAGAGCTCCCCCGGCTGCTGCAGGGGGGTACAGCAGGACAGGAGTGGCCCTAAACTGAACTGCTCCTGTCAGAAGCAAATTTGCTCCCAACTGGTGCACATTCAAATGTGTGCGGGGGCCCAATTTAATGCACTTAAATTTTCTGCACAGGTGCATTTTCAGGTGCATTAATTTCACATGTAGATGTGCCCATAGTGCACTATTGTTGTATTTAGTTTTTGTGACTCCATTAGGTTTAAAAACCTTTTCCTTTGTTGATACTTAATGGCCATATCTACATGAGATGCTGACTATGCAGTCGTCACTGTGCAGTCATTTAGTATTTGTTTAAACAAGTACATTATGACGGCATAGTAGCTGGAGTTACTGAGCAGTAGCATTGCTGAACAGCTTTTAGGTGACACTGACTGCACAGTAGTTTGTTATTACTGCACAGTAGCATTGCATCATGCTTTCTGCCATGTAATAATGACTACTGAGCAGTCAACGTCTGATGTAGATGCATCCAATTTCCCTAAATGAAAACAGTGAACCTAAAAGCATTGGTTTATGAAGTGGGGAGTAAGGGGAGGGAAGAAATAAATAAATTAACATCTCAAAGCTGTAATAGAACAGAAGCATAAATTTAAGAGGGTATTTCTAAAAGCCTTCAGTATTGGTCACTCTCCTTCATTTGAGGCCAGTGGCAAAAATTCCTTGATTTCAGTGGGAAACCAATGTCCAGTGCTTTTGGAAATCTCATCCTGCCGTTACAAATACCTAAAAAGAAAACAGCTGAAAATCCAAACACTTTTTAGTAACTCATGAAGCTGTGAGGTCAGGATTTTCCATGCTCTTTTGTGGAGTTGCATAGGGATTCAAATTAATTATGCTTGTTCATAAATGACAATATTTGTGTTTTTACTCTGAGGGGTATAATATGTAATTGTAAATTGTTGTGCCAGGTTGCCATAAGGGACATTTAAATTTCAGCTCCATAGGAAATGCTAAGAATCAATGTTTGTCAAATGGAAAACAATATCAGAATAGAGTGAAGATGTTTTGAAGCTCCTGTTGGTGTCATTTGTGCTATATATTGATCTGGCTTTTACTCTGATGGTTACTGAATTAATAGAAAAAGCTCAGTGCATCAGAATGATGCTAACATGATAAGACAATAATAAAAACTTGTATCTCAAAATAGAATAAAATTAAGAAAATTCAATAGCTATAAATGAGAGTGATTTAAAAACAAGACAACTAAACAGGGAAGTTTGTTGTGTAGAACTGCTGATGCGGTGCCCTTCACACACATCGTATTCACCTTAGAGTGAGAAGGGATGACTTGAAAATGTCCTTTTAATATTTCAGTATTTTCCACCAGGTTTATAATTCTGGATTACCATTTTTATGTGTGTGTGTGAGAGAGAGCACAAAAGTGTAATGCCTTGGTGCCAAACTGACAGCCTTATAGACGTGCTCTGGGAGGTGGCGGGGGAGGAAGGTGCTCTTGGAGCTCCAGTACTTAAAAAGCACCTGGAGCATCACATGTATCAGCGGTCCCACACTGAAAAATGGCGATGGAGTGCTTTAAACCTTAAAGCCACCTTGCCATTTTTCAGCGTGGGGATGCTGATACACATGACGCTGGAGGCTGATGGAGCATGTTCATTTCCACACTCCAACAGAATCAATTTAATGAAGTCTGCTCCGATGTGCTGGAATTACAGTGTCTCAGAGCAGCCTCCCTGCAAATGTATAGGAGTCCTTGGAGACCAAAATCTTCTGTGTGTTCACTAAATAGATCCAAGGCAGGCAGCAGCAGTACAAGGTCTTTTGTGTCACCTCCAATACTGAGCTCACTACTGATCTGGAGGCAGTGCTTCTTAGGAGTGAGGGAACCAGTCAGCCTCCAGAGTCTAGGCAGTCCTTCATGTCTGCTGGGACCAATCATCTTTTACTGTAGCACATCCAGGCCCAAATGGAGATCGTGGTCCCATTGTGTTCAGCGCAGTAAAAACTCCCAGTAAAAACATTCTTTATCCTGTAGTGCTCCCAGACTAAACAGACAAGGCAGACAAGTGTGAGAAACAGGAAGCACTGCTCCCGTTTTGGAGTGGGGAGCACTGAGAGATCACAGATGTTTTTAAAGGTCTCCAAATCCCATCTTCAAAACTGACTTCAAAACCCCTGGCACTCTTGAAAATTTTACCCTTAAGTTTTCAGTGCTTAAAAGTGAGCAGGACTGGGGCTTTTTTCCAAAAAGCTCATGTGACTTTCAAAGTCACACTAGAGTTTATGACAAAAATAAGAATTAAGCCCAATGTTCTGACTTTCTAGCCAAGTGTCTTTAAAAGATAAATACCTTCTTTTCCCTTTAACAAGGAAGGTAGGTGTAGTGGTTTCTGGGCTTTCCAGTGACTATTTAATGGCAAACTCATTTCACAGACAGGCTCCCTAACAGCCACCAGGTGATACCAGTGCACTCTGGGAACTGCAGTTAGCACTGGAATCTCTGGATGCCCTGGCAATATACATACTGAATTACACTTACACTTGCAAAAAAGAAACACCGACATGTAAAGATCCTCATTATAGTGGCAAAATCAAGCACTCAAAGGGCACATCTATACATGACGCTATGACCGTCACCGTAGCAATACAGAGTTATTAATTTCCTCATGGGCACTTCAGTGATGCTCATCACTGTGGTATCTGAAAGTTTCACAGATATCAATGTATTTATTTTCACACCACTGAAGCACAGAGAACGTAAGCTCAAAAGTATCCACCAATTGTGTGTGTCCAACTTGAGACAATTGGGACCTGATTTTTTGGCATGGTTGCACTGGATAGCGTTGTCTCGGCTCTAAGCACAGCTCCCACCAACTACAGCTCAGCACTCCTGCAAATCAAGCATCTCAAGTCAGGCACTTGTGAGAAACACACAAGTGATTGCAAGGGAGAAGTTTGCTTTAGGGTTTTCTTAATATCTCATGGGAACTCCAGGGCAGAAGGGTAGTGGCTCTCCAGGACTGCCTTTACCATAGCACCGTTCTTTTTCTTTCAGGTACCCCTGCCTCAGTCACTACATACTTTCCAACATTGTAATGAATGAGGCAGAGCCACTACAGACAACAGACTCCTTTACCCCCTGCCTCTGATTTGTATCTAACATATACCCTTTGTGTGCAGTGAATGGGGCAAATGTCCAAGGAAAGGCTGGTAAGGGATCACAACATTAGAGAATCCATCAGAATGCACATGCATAAAGAAGCCAAATAAAGGTTGCAAAGGCAACCTCAGTTTGGTGTTTCCTAACTTCTGAGTGCTTGACTTTTTCCCTGGCCTCATGCTCAAAAATGACCAAATGATTTTGGCTGTAATTTTCCAAAAGGTTCAGCATGAGACAGACACCAAACATGAACAATATTTGTCCAAACAGTTAAGGATTGGGTCTCATAATGGTCACCACTGATGGACGGAGAAGTGTGGTAGGGGGACCAGATTCTAACTGCTGGTAGAGCAAGTGAAAGCACTTTGACCCTGAAAAGATCACAATCTCTGTAGCGAAGATGATTTTAGTGTTCAAGAGTATGAACTTGACTCTGTGGCAGGGAGGATATTTTTTAATTTTTATGGAATGCTATCTTAGCATTGTACTGTTCTATGGCTGATTCCAACACCTTGGCCCTGCATTTTTATCTTTAATGTTCAGCCTGCATTTATTGTTGCAGATTTACTCGGGAAGCCTCAAAGGATTGCGTAGTTATGGGACAGCGAATTCCAGCTGGGGTAGTTGTGGAAACTGCAGTTGGATACCTCCATTATAACCCTGAGTTGTGGCCAGAACCTGAGAAGTTCATCCCTGAGAGGTAGGTGGGGAAAACATGTTTTTCTCTTGTGCAGCATTGATATTATTTACACTCATTTAACCTAAAGCCCTGCTTCAGATGATGTTTCCTATCAGATGAATAAGGAGGAGCACTGTGGGTATAAGCAATTCGTTCCCAGTACTCCTATGACAGGCAGTGGAAATGTCTTTTAGGTATCAGTAGTCAGACAGACATGCTGAGCACCTGGTTTCACTTCATAATTCCTGTGTCCAGCATAACCACAATAATCAGCTGTTGGCCTGGGATGAGCTTTAGCTACCCCCAGTTGAGAGTTTAGATCACATCCAGCATCATTTCCATTGAATGATGCCACTATACTAGGTGGCTATAGATGTCCATCCTAAAAAGGATGCATCTGTAATCGCCTCCCTGGCATCAATATAACTTATTTCAGATCAAATGCTGTTGTTTATATCACTCGTATATACAGAAATTCTCAAGCAAGATAAACTGTCCCTGCTATTCATCTGCACGTAACAATCCAGAATCCCCTGCCAGCCTAAGGCTCTTTCAGAGCAGGCCTCATGTCAGACTAGTCTTGGGGGTTATGTGCTCAGCAATTGCTGAAGTCAAGGTATGATTCGAGATCATTATAGGATTCTAAACTCTTCCGTCTTATTAGCATAGGGCTTCCAACTGTCCATAAATGTACAGGCAGCCCATCAAAAATAGGGCAAAAAACATATGTCTGTGGAGTCCATAAAAAAAACTGGAGCAGACAGTAAACATGCTAAGCAAGTAGTCTGATGGGCAGATAGAGCACGGCAGCATCGCCCAGTATCTGAGCAGGGTAGAACCTTGCAGGGAACTCTGGTCAGGACTTTGTGGCTCACATGAGCCTGCATAGCCCTTTCCTCTCTGCCTAACCATATGATGCTGCTGTATCCCTCTCCTCTGGCTGTCCCCTAACTCTGACAGCTGCTTTCCTTGAAGGTAGGTTTTTTTACTTACAGTCTGTAAACTTTTTAGTGACAATAATTTTTGTTTTAATATGGTTGATGTTAAACCCCTAAATTTGAACCCCTCCATCTAACCACTGCCACGTAGGGGCTGGCAGAGGGGTTATATTTACATTATGCAAAACATATGTCACTAAAAAAGTTTGGTTGTCAGTAAAAAGTTTGCAGTTTATCATTTTTTAAAAAGTACTGGGTTGGCAGCCCTGGCCTAGCAGGACAGGCTACCACAAAAAGCTTTTCTCACTTAGTCTTAACTAGGCCTCTTGGTCTAAACTGAGACCTGCTTATGTAACTGCATGTGGACTATACTACTCCCAAGCCAATTTTAGCAAACAAAAAGTGCTCACAGAATTTTACCAAATCAAGTGCTGTGCAAAGTACAGTCTTGTTTTGTGGACACCACTGCTCAGATCTGTGTTAAGTGGCCACTTTGTGAAAACTCTACTGGAAAAAGGTAGTTGCCTCACAAACACCGTGGTGTAATGCAAAAATCTTGACTCTGGTTTAGAAGAACTAACATAACTATTTTAAGGGATCTTGCACAAAAGCACTGCCTATGATCTATGCTAGTTTTTTGCTTTATGCAGTTGAGCCCATCAAGAGAGGCAGCACCAAGTTAGGGACCCAAGAAACACCATGTTGTGATATACTGTCAAGGATAGCTACGTGGTCTTTACTGGCAAATTTTGCACAACAGTGATGGTTGGGTCTTTTAGAGCACAGACATAAATGACAATTTTTGACAATTTGGCTGCAGAAAGTTGTGTACAGCCATGACCAAATACAAGTGCATGACTGCAGACAGCTTCAAAAATGGCTGATCAGGTGAAAATCTCAACCCTCATTGCATGAGGGGTCAGATGAAGATGTTTCAACACAGAGCATCTTCTGTGACTTCTGTCCGCACTGCCAGGCTGTCAGTGTTTTCAGAATGGGAGGTGGGAAAGGGAATGAAGGGAGTCTGAGTCTTTTTCAGCCCCTGTTAGAGGGTAGGCCAGGTGTATTGGAGCCTTCCCAAGGTGGAGAAGCTCCAGTTCACACATCCCACCCTCCAGCACCAGCAGGGGAACCCCAAGGAGCTCTTTCTGCTCCCTTTCCCCCCTCCCGTTCTGAAAAATTTGCGGTCTTACAGGGAGGAGGGGCTGTTGCTAGGGGATGCTGGCTGCAGGCTGGCAGCCCAGTAGCTAGATTCCCCTGGAACCAAGAGTGAACTTCTGTTTGTTCCAGGGGATCATTGCAACTTAGAATGTTTCCTGCAAAATGCTCAGTTACAGCGGGGAGCTGCACTTCTGTCTGCACCCTCATTGGCTGTTGGATGCTGTAATCTTATCACCCACACTCTGGCAGTGTATAGGCGATGGGTTAAAAGGGAAGTATGGGTTTGCGGAGGAATCGAGGATGGTGACTATATTAGTTTTGACTGCAGTGCTGTGGTTGTCAAAGCTGCCGTGAATTTCTTCTTGACCTTCTCTCTGAGGCAGGAGTTGTAATTACTCGCACTCTCATCTTAGACTGCGCTAGTTGTTGTGGTCATAAAATTAGCCTGCTCTTTTTTAAAAAACTGCAGCTACAGTTTTGACTTTCTGGTCTTTCTCCTGGTGAGCTAACCCCAGGATGATAACATGGCCTAAAACTGAATTTACTTACTCTAAATTTACTTAGTCCTTTTGCTCTTAAATTATGGGGCATCTCCAAAATGGGAGTACTAGCCACTTTTTACTACGGATGCCATAATTCTGGTTACCGCTTTCAAGTCCTTTTCATCTTGACACAAGACTTTTTTCTTACTGTGTACAGTGCTTAGTATAGTAGGGTCCTGATCTCATTTAAGGGCCTCTAGGGTATTTATACATGTGCTCCAGGAGTTTGGGGAAGGGAAGAGGGCACTTTAATTAGAGTGGCTTTGAGAGCCACTCTAATTAAAGCACCTGGAGCATCTCATGTATCAGTGGCCCCACACTTCAAAATGGTGGCGAGGGCACTTTGTCTAAAGCTTATCGAACAAGCTTTAGATAAAGCACCCTCACTGCCATTTTGAAGTGCAGAGATGCTGATACATGAGACGTGGGAGGCTACTGGAGCACGGTAATTGCCATGCTCCAGCGGACTTGATTAATCAAGGGACAAAGCATCCACACCAGAAGACAGGCGGGTGATCCAGGCTGACCTGGACAGGCTCAGCAAGTGGGCGGACGAGAATCTGATGGTGTTCAATGCCGATAAATGCAAGGTTCTCCACCTTGGGAAGAAAAACCCACAGCATCCTTATAGGCTCGGCAGTGCTATGTTGGCTAGCACTAAGGAAGAAAGAGACTTGGGGGTCATCACTGACCACAAGATGAACATGAGCCTGCAATGCGATGCTGTGGCTAGTAAAGCGACCAAAATGCTGGCTTGCATCCATAGATGCTTCTCAAGCAAATCCCGGGACGTCATTCTCCCCTTGTACTCGGTCTTCGTGAGGCCGCGGCTGGAGTACTGCATTCAGTTTTGGGCTCCACAATTCAAAAAGGATGTGGAGAAGCTTGAGAGAGTCCAGAGAAGAGCCACGCGCGTGATCAGAGGTCAGGGAAGCAGACCCTACGATGACAGGCTGAGAGCCCTGGGGCTCTTTAGCCTGGAAAAGCGCAGGCTCAGGGGTGATCTGATGGCCACCTATAAGTTTATGAGGGGTGACCACCAGTATCTGGGGGAATGTTTGTTCACCAGAGTTCCCCAAGGGATGACGACTAGGTCGAATGGTCACTACAAGACCGTTTCAGGCTGGACATAAGGAAGAATTTCTTTACTGTCCGAGCCCCCAAGGTCTGGAACAGCCTGCCACCGGAGGTGGTTCAAGCACCTACATTGAACACCTTCAAGAGCAAACTGGATGCTTATCTTGCTGGGATCCTATGACCCCAGCTGACTTCCTGCCCTTTGGGCAGGGGGCTGGACTCGATGATCTTCCGAGGTCCCTTCCAGCCCTAATGTCTATGAAGTCTATGAAATCAGAATTACAGCCTGTTGGAGCAGCCTCCCTGCTTGTGTATAGGCACCCCTAGTGTCTAGATACTACTGTTAATAGAGACAATGCATCAAAAAACCTTCTTGCTTCTAAAGCAAGAAGCTCAATAAGTATTGTGTTAAAATAGCTGTGCAAATCTCTCACCACATTTAAGTCCTACTACATTCATCACCTGTCTCTGGACCTTTGCAGCCCTCAAGTACAGGGGCAGCAGCTATCATAAACCCTTGTATATATATGCGAAGGGGCTCCATAGTTTCCCTTATGCGCCAGTGGCAGTTCCCCAGCTATATATGGCTAAGCTGGCTTTGGGGCAGACCTGTTCTGGAAGAGAAGTCCATGGTGCTGCAGAGGGCCCTCTAGGTCAGGCTGGCTTCCTTTTGCCTTCAGACTAACAAAACCTGGCCTGTTTGGGTAGCCCATTATCCAGCACTCTCAGGACACAGCTGAGGTAAGTCCACTGCTTGTGATTGCATCTCTTCTCATACTTCAACATTTGTTAATTGTCTGGTTAGTCCAGTCTACTCGGAGTGTCTGTTGCAAGCATCTGCAATGAATGCTGTTTAATTTAACTTCCCTTGCATAGGTTTTTTTTCTCCTCCATGACTCCAAATGCTATGGCAACAAGCTTAGGATGTGAGGTTGCTTAGTTTCTCAGCATGGGTCCTGAAGATCATCCAAGTTGGGCTGTCCCAGATCACACTGGTTTTGCTTTGGTGAGGCACGTGTTGTTCTTTATTCTAAGTTAAAATTTGTTATTTTCTTAGCTTTTGTCAGCTGCAAGGTCTTTATTCATCTATGCATGGGGTCTAAATTTGAGGCCTGAAGTAGTATTCAGTAGCTTCCATTCCTTAGACAAATGTTTAAAGTATCTGTAATGACCTGATTAAAACAGAAAAATACAGCTAGTCTATCTGGGAATAGGAACTAGCACTTAACAAAGGACATGTTAGGGCATCAGTGGGAAGGAGCATAATCTGCTGCTACTAACCATTGACCTCAGACAGTATTTAAAATCAAGCTCAGTAAAAAACACATTTCTTTATCTGGTTTCCAATTGTTCCACCTTGCAGGTTTACAGCAGAAGCCAAGAAGCACCGCCACACCTTTGCATACCTCCCATTTGGGGCAGGTCCTCGCAGCTGCATTGGTTTGAGGATGGGTTTGCTGGAGACAAAGATGACCCTGCTGCGGATCTTGCAGAAGTTCAAATTTGAAACGTGTCCAGAGACCCAGGTTTGTACAGATGAAGGTTTAAGGGAAGCACTTGTGTTGAGGAACACTGGTGTGGCTTCAGGCAATAAAAATGCCAGTCTGAGTTGCACTATTTTAACCAAAACAGCGTTTTTATAATTTATTATGTTTTTAATCAAAACAAAATTGTCTGCACCCTGCAGTCCAGATCTGCAGATGGCCCAAAGCAGTGTAGTATCAATGGCAAATTGTGCTATCAACATGTGTGTATCTGTCTTTTTAAATAGACGGGTACTTCAGTATATGCATGTTACTAAATATGACAAGTGCTATATCTTCAGCAGTTCTAAAGAGCTTTTTCTATGCTATTTATACAATGCACCAATAGTCATTGTCTCAAGTCTCTATTCATAAATTATATTTAACATTATGCTGCTAACTGCTGACTATAATAAGGACTTTCTACAATTGCTAGAATAATCCCTATACAAACTAATTCTAGGAAGGGAAACTTTGTCATTTTGAACTTGTGGAAGTTTTACACATGCGCATTAAGTGTTCAAAAGGTGCAATTTATTTTCTCTTTCAGATTCCTTTGCAGCTGAAATCTATAGCTACTTTAGGACCCAAAAATGGAGTCTACATTAAGATAGTACCTCGATAAAGTAACATCTCCATTCGGGAAACATTCACAGCACAAGTCTCTTGTTCACCGGCTTGGATGGATTGGAAATAACATTTTCAAAACCACACTTAACTGATTTAGGACACTAAGTTGTCTTGAAAGTAAATGGGAACATAAAAAAAAAAATCAGTCTGAATCCCACTGACTTTTAATGGAACTTAGTCACCTAAGCCATTTGCGAGCTTTTAAATTTTTACCCAGGTATATTACTGTGAATAGTCTCTGCAAAAACTCCTTATTCTTCACTGGTCTTATAGATCATACACTTCCTTTATTTACACAAGGTTTTGTCCAGGCCTTCGTATATGCTAAAAGAGTATGTCATCTTGCCTATACCAGGCTTTTATGATGTGCACGAACTCCTAGTCTAGACAAACCTTGAGAGGCAGCACTTTGTCTGCTGGTTTTAGAACAGGAACAGGAATCAGGTGAACTTAGATCCTATTCCAGACGCTGCCAAAGAACAGAGAACAAATCATTTTCCAGGGTGCTTTAATACCTGCATCTCTGTAGAATGAAGATGATAATGCATTCTGCCCTTTGTAAAATACATTGAGGTATTTATATTAAAGGTTTGCACATTTCATTCAACTTTAGTGTATGATGGATAAGACACCATTTGACATTGCTTAAATAAGTTCTTATAACCAAAATCAGACCAAAGCATGATGTAGCACCTGATTTGCTACTGAATTTAAAATGGTCAGAAGAGGGAGGGAATTTCAAGGTTGAGCTGAAGTGGCTGGTGTAGCAGTCTGCTACACCATCCGTAGATGCCTTTCTGTGCTTTTCAGCTGGCGCCACCACCATTCAGTTCATTGGCTCAGTGGCAATGGAGCCTGCCAGAGTCAGTGCTTAAAGTTGTGGGCTAGAAGCAACCCCCAGGGGCAAGTCAGTTCACACATGCATTCTTCACTCAACCGAACTTGTCTGAATATCAGCCCTGGAGACTATATTCACATTCTGCGCACATGACCACACTCAAATGTTCTCTATTTTGTACTTCAGGCCCTGTGATTTGGGATCCAGGTATCCAGAATGCAAATATTTCTTTTGTGTAAATATGCTGAAGTATTTTAAAAACCCCTTAAGTGGTAGGCTATTGACAGCTCTTGTCCCTTTGCTTTACCTGTGACCCATTGGGGTAGTTTTGGGTAGTGTGCATTGTAGTCGTGTGATAAGGTTGCATAGGTAGGTTAGAGAAGCACTGTTATGGGATAGCAATGATTCTGCCTTGAGCAGGGGGTTGGGGTAGATGACCTTCTGAAGTCCCTTCCAGCCCTTCTTTTCTATAATTCTCATGTCTCTAGGAACCAGCTGGGGCAAAGTTTTAATTCAGCGCTCTCTCTAAGTCAGTGGCTCCCAACCTCGGGCCGTGACCCAAATCAGGGTCACAGGGGGTTCACCTCTCTCGCCTGCAGGGCTCTCCCGGCACACGGTCCGCGTGGCTCTCGCCGCCACTGCCCCCCATGATCCTGGCCCAGCCCAGGCTCTGCTGGTGCCACCAGGCATGAGTAAATTGGTGGTGGGGGTTGTGACCTGGATTTAGGGTTGCAGCAAAAAAAAAAGGTGGGGAGCCACTGCTCTAGATGCTGCTTTCATCCTCTCCCAGACCAGCTAACAGCCAAGTCACCATTCTAGGTCACTGCAGGAAGTTCTACCACAAAACCAAGGTAGGTGTCAACAACGTAGACAACGGGCAGTGATAAAATAGCAGATTTACAAGCACTTGGGGTTTTGGTTTTCAGTTTTCTTTAGGCTTCAGAGACTCATTTGCACCCACGGCTGAAATTCTGAAGATGGACGTGTAGAAGGTTTTATATTTCAAAAAGCTCACGACAAAATTCTCCATGACATCTCTGCCAAAGATCTCAGAGGTAAAGGAGTTCCCCTCAGCACCAGACAGTATCTGAGCTGAACTCTTATGAGTACATCTCAAAACTCTACTTTGTTTAAAAAACAAAAACAGGCTTAAGTTGCCATGTTTGAATCCTTGAAAATAACCCTTTTTGGCAGTTGAAGTATATGAAGCCACATGCTGGCACTCTGGGACCTGGGGTTGTTTGCAGCTGCCTCTGCTTGTCTTATCACTGATTCAAGCACTCTTCCATAATGAGACCAGAGAAAATGCTGTCTCATTCCTTAGTGGTATGCTCAGATATATATGTAACAGACTTACCTGCAGAGAACTGTCACAGTAGCAGCAGAAAGGTACTCATCAACTTAAACCCTCTGCTGCTGTTCAGCAATTTTTAGCCATAGTTTAATTATCCAATGGTATATTGAGCCTGTTGCAGTGAATATGTTCGGCTTTCTTCTCTGGCCACACTTACCAGGAATTGTCTGTTTTGTCATGGGATTTTCTTCTAGCTAGAACTCTAGGCACATAGGGCATCTTTACATGTGCTCAGGGGGTGGGGGCGCTTAAATTAGAGCAGCTCCGAGAGCCACTCTAATTAAAGCGCCTGCAGTGTCTCGTGTATTCAGCATCCCGCACTTCAAAATGGGGGCAGGGGCACTTTAACTAAAGCTCATTGAAGTGTGGGATGCTGAATACATGAGACATGGAAGCTGCTGGAGCATGCTAATTAGCACACTTCAGCACTCAATTAATTGAGTCTGCTGCGATGTGCTATAATTACAGTGTATTGAGCAGCATCCCCACGCGTGTACAGGAACCCGTTGTAACTGTAGGTTGCAGGGATTTAGTCTGTACTTCCACTATGCTTTTTGTGTTGTGGGGCATTTAGTGACTTGTTGAAACTTGCCAGTGAAGTAAAATCCTAACTTGTCTTTTCGACAGATAACCTACTGTACACACACTACCTTGTATGCTATACTATTTTTCTAATTACATTTTGTGGTGAGAGCATTATACCTGTAAACTGGAATAATGGATGCAGGCCTCTTACTTCGACTTGAGCACAAAGTTTTTGTCTTTTACTGCATTTTATGTACTACCATATAAAAGTCCAGGAAGAGCACAGACCATCTGTAGACTCTTCCTCAGCTTGACGAAGGGTGTTTGTGCCCGAAAGGTTACTAAGAATTTTTCCAACTACTTGAGTTGGTGTAATTAAAGAGATCGCATTTACTCAAAGAACCTTGTCTGACTATATAAAAGTCAGCATCCAAGGTCATCTCCTGCTCCTCTGCCCTTCAGAAAAGTTTTCCTGCTTTCCCCCCCACATTTAAGCTAGCAGGGTCTCCCTTAAAAACAGGACACGCATTGAGCATAAAAATCTCGTGTGTTCTTTAATTCACTTTTGCGTAGACCATTCTACAGCTAGCCAAGTAGTCTAGGTTTTCTTAATGCTACAGTTAAAGAGGGCGGAGAAGATAGATGTTTTCACTAAAATTTGAAAAGAATTATGGCAAGACAATTAAGATTGAAATTGCATTGTGTTTTAAAGGCCTAACTCTCTCTGAAGGGACTTTATCAGATAAGTATTACAGGAGGTGTGGGATATGTCCATTAAAGGATTGTGTTTTATTCTGAGCCAACCACTCTAAATACAAGTTAGAGCAAGTTTAACTAATAATGCTTTATTTTAAAAGGGTAAATGAAAAAACTGCAGTAGTCACTTTGACAGCTGTCCATTTCCGGACAAAGCTGCACAAGGGTGACTGTAAAGAAGGGATGGGTATTATCTGCAGCAGTACTTGACAGAGAAACTGTCCACAGCTGCAGGTTGAGGGCTTTGCTATATGGTAATTTTAGGCGGCTCCTGGAGCTCTTAACTCCTGGGTTCGCTGCATGTTAACACTTTTAAAGCACTTGTTATGAGGCTCAAAGATGTGCCACTTCAGGGAAGGATTCTCTCTAATTGACATAACCTTGCTCCTGTTCCATTGTGTGGCCACTCCCACAGCCGTTCTGCTGTTCAAACTGAAGTCATCCAGTATCCTAGGATGCAGTGGCCCCCTCTCCCAGCCTCCTGTTCTGTGGGCTCTCACGCCCCGGGCTCCTTCTGCTAACATTTCCCACCTAATGGATTGTTTTCAACCTATGCTGGAGGTAGTAGGTATAATTCTTATGGTGAAGGGTGAGGACTCTCCATGCAGGAAAGGAAGCTGAGAAAAGGAAATATAAGCAAGGCATCATCCTGCTGCTGCTTTCTTTCCCTCCCTTCTAAGGTGAGTGGTTTTTAGGTTAATGTCAGATCTCCCTTTGGGCTATGACAGGTCCAGGTCAGTTCTAAACAAGCGAGCATCCTTAGTGCAGGGAAGTAGTCCCAGGCAGCAACCCTCCTACCCCTAGAAACCATGTTAAGAGCTGAACGCCATGGCTGGAAGCTGATCATGATTGTCTCTGGGATGGAGAGGTAGCTGAGGGCCAAGCACTGGGCAGCCCATTGGGCATGCTGATCATTACAGATGAGCAAAGGACAGGGCAGGAGCCTGGTGCCATATGTTTGTGGAGTCTGTGTTATCTTTGCTTCTGCCTTTGCCCAGGCCCTCCAGGCCGCATCAGTGCCTTTAAAACGGGCTCTGCTTTCATTTGCCTGTAACCAGAAGTGGAGGGAGCAGGCTTGGCAGGGTGTCTGCAGACCGGGTAACCCCAAGGCTCAGGCTGGGCTGCGATCGGGGTAGAGATGGGGCTGGGAAGGTGGGGGAAATCAAAGCCCCAGTGCCAGGCAGCATCACCACTTCCCCGCCACCCCGCTGCCACGGTTCTAGTTTGACACAGAAGCCAGGCATTGGGATTAGCCAGGCACTGGACACAGAGCAGGCACCTGCATACCTCTGGTCACTATTCCCCTGCCCCCTCCCTCCCATCTTGGGGAAACCCCTCCCCTTGGCTAGGACCTGATCCTTATCCCACAATTCTCTCAGAGGAAAGCTTCCCCTCACCCCCAGGACAGCCAGATCCTGGGGCATTTCACTTGCAGGCTCTTAGCAGCACAGCTCCACTGTTGCAGGTGGGAATGGGAGGCAGCGACCTTCTCTGGCAGCCCCCCAGCCTCTCTCGAGGGACCTGCCACCTCCCCCTCCCTGCAGTCTAGAATGCTGCTGCTGCGGTGGGTGAGAGTCGGGCAAAGCATAGAGAAGTAGGGGTGGAAGGGACCTCCCTGCTCACCAGCCCTCTAGTGGCAAATGCAGCTGTGTAGGTAGGAGGCCAGTCAGACAAGTTTTCTAGACTAAAGGCATGACTGCTTCAAACTCCAACCTAGCATTAAGCCAGACATTCGTGTGGCTCGCAGCGTTAGGGGTAACAAGGCCCCGAGACAGAATTCTGAAAGTCAATTAGCATTTTCTTAGGCGCACACATAGGAAGGCAGTCACATTTTTAGGCCAGAGGCTGCCTACTTCCTAACCACGTACAAGGGACCTCTTTCCTTTTAAACAGTAGTTGCTGATATGGACACCACATGGTTTTCGTCTTCTCTTATTACACCTGAGTATGGAATGGTCCTATCTCCCTCACTGTATTTAGTGGTCTATGGCAGGGGTGGGCAATTATTTTGGGCAGAGGGCTGCTTACTGAGTTTTAGCAAGCAGTCGAGGGCTGCATGGGTAGCTCTGCCCCTTGACAGGTGCCCCGCCCCTGGTTGCCATCTTGTGACTGGAACTCCCGCCCCCTAACCCCTGACCTTTGCCAGCAGAAGTCCCTCCCCCTCCCCCCAGAAGTAATCCTTTCAGCAGGGTGTTTTGCCATCTCAGAACCAGAAACGAACCAAATTATATTCTAAAAATCAAACAGCTACAACATTCATTAATGTGACTCCAAAAAATATTTTTGTCCTGATTCACACGTGTTTGTGTAGTGTACACAGAGGTGACTGCACAATAGCTTAAAATGAAGCCTTACTCTTGTATATGGTGGGGGGTGGGTATAGGTTTGTGGGAGCTGTGGGTGTATGGGTATGTGGGGAGGGTGGCTAGGGTTTGTGTACGGCAGAGCGAGGGGGGGTGTGAATGTATATGGTGGGGTGTGCGTGTGGGACTCGCCCTATGAACACACACACGCACTGCCCCATGCTCCGTGGTCCGGGGATGCAACTGGGAGCCACAGACACATGGTGCTGGAGCACAGCGGGGGCAGGAAGCAGGGAAATGGCTGGGGGTGGGTGGGACTGGGCTGCTCAAGCCTGCTGAGGGCTCCCTCTGGGTCCTACTGCCCCTGGATCCTGTCAGCTTTGACATGGAGCCGGGGCAAATAAATATTAATTTACTACATTTTTTAGGGGCTCCATGGGCCATATTTTGCCCACCCCTGGTCTATGGACTCTACAAAAAAGGATGTATAATTAAATTGTTTGCAATTGTAGCAGAGGCTCTATTAGTATGACTTTTGGGCACAGCACCTCAGACAAAGCGGTCCTGCTGAGCCCTACTGAACATAATAAAAGCTATAAATGACCTCATGTTTGTAAACAAAGAGCTAAATTTACCACTTTATGACTCGTGGTGAATGCTGGTATTTCAGGTTTAGCATATTCCTTTGAAGAGACATGAAGCTTCTGATTTCCGAGAGTTACAAGGAAGGTGGTGCATGAATAATTTCTATAGAAACTGCAAATATTTATGTCTGCCACAATCTGGTTGCAGGTCTGTTTTAAGATTACATGCAACTACTTTTCAAGAGGTCCTAGTCATTCCCAGGCAGCTGATAGCAAGCAAAGCCTACTTGATAAGGAGAAGCTTATACATAAAACATCTTCCCAGAATGGATACATATACCTGCACTCATCACAGAGCTGTCGATGTAAAAAAATGGTACTTTTATGCAACTGTTGGGAGAGAAAACATTTGTAATCTGCTGCTTTGAAAACGCTGTTCCTGGGGTAGTGGGGAATGATGCCTTAAAATTACTCTTAATTAAGAATGTGAAATGTTACTTCCTTTGCCTTGTTTTACACTGCAAGTTTTCTGTAGTCATTTCACAAAATAAATGTTTTATGTCACATATTGGCTTAGCATTAAATTTTAGGTGACACTGCCTTTAAACCACCTGGGTTGAAAATGTTTAAGGTCAACTAATGAAGGCAGTGATATAGAACAAAGCAATATAGCTTGTTTTGTCACCGCCCTGCTAATGTTTGGTCAGACATTAAAGGCTCTAAGATTTCCATTTCCTGCCTTTCCACCATTGTCTTGAAACCATCAACAGGATTTTCCTCAGTCGTTTCTGACAGTGAGCAATCAAATAATCACAGTGATCATTCTACTTTAAAAATGAAGAAGACACATTGGAAACCATGTACAAAACTTGTGAACAAGATGCAGGCTCATTGCTGTTCAGCTTCAAAGAATATTTGCTGGTAAAATGGATGCATAACTACCTGGCCACAAACTACTCATCTAGCCTCCAGATCAGGAGCAGGCAATTATTTTGGGCGGAGGGTCGCTTACTGAGTTTTGGCAAGCCATTGAGGGCCACATGACAGGCAGCCAGGGGCAGATTAATATTAATTTTCTAAATTTTTTAGGGGCCCCACAGGCCGGATAGAATGGCCTGGAGGGCTGCATGCGGCCCGTGGGCTGCATTTTGCCCACCGCTGCTCCAGATACTCTAAGTAGAGCCACCCAACATTGCTTTTATCTCCACTTTCATACTTTTTTGATCTTTTCAACCTCAGGCCAGAGACAACCTTCTGGGTTTGCTTCCATCTGCTGAATGTGGATGCATGTGTCCTGATATCCACTGGAAAAGGACTATCCCATTCCCCTCTTCCAATGCAGCCGCTGCCAGAAAATATCACAATGCTGCCCTTTCCACATGGCCTGCTCTCAGAACATGCCCAGGCTACAGGTGTCAAACATGTGCTACACAAAACAAAATGCTCACTGTCTCTCCCATCCAGAGTGATATTTTGCTTACTGTTAGGATATGGCTGTGTTATCAAATACCTATATGCAAAAAGTATCACTGTAAAGCTAAAACATCATGTCTGATATCCACAACAGGTCAGTCTTAAATCCGAACCTGCCTGGCTGTCCTGTGCGCTGCACTACTATCACACTAGGGAAAAAAAGATAAATGTGCCTGATTTTTCCTCCCATGTAACCTAACCACTCCTGTTTCACTGCTTATGCTCAATCGCTCTTGACCCAAATATTCAAAGGATACTTTTATCACTCAAAAGCAGCCAATGTTAACCTAAATCTTAGGTTGTTACAATTACAATTTACAAAAATAAGTCCAGTTACAATGGCATCAGTTGTACACAGGCTTCTCTAGTTCATAACTGCTTGACAGAAAAAAAAGTTTATTAGGAACCCAAAGTACAGCTGACTGCTATTTCTAGCAGTTAGAAGGTCAGAAAACATGCAAAAGTAGCAAAATCAGTCAGCTGAAAAGCCTGTCATTTCCCCCTGCACAAGTTTCCTCAGCTTTTGAAAACACAGTGGCAAATTTAATGCCTAAGGTTTCCTTTTGCTGCTACAACTTGTCCAACAGGAGAAAAGTTTAGAAAACCAGGAGTGGGAAGGGGAGAAGAAACAAAACGGACACAGCATTCTATTCCATTTATTCACTAGCAAAAAGAGGCAGGGAGGAAGGAGCTGAATATCCAGAACTACTCACGGGGCACACCTACACAAAATGATTAATGAACAGTAGACTAATTCTACTGCACGTTAGAGCACCATGAGAAAAAGCATGCTAATGCACAGTAGAATTAGTCTACTGCACATGAAGCATCACAAAAAGATCGTGCTCCATTGCTACTGTGCATTAGCATCAGCTACTTATCGCACCAGTTTATTGCTTCCAGGCACGCATTTACAAGTGCATTTAGAATTGCAGCATGTTGAACCAGGTTGAAGCAGTCCCGGCTGGCAGGGAACCCAGCGGGGAGTGCAGGGAAATCAGCCTGCCAGCCCAGGGCTGCTCCGATCTGGTTCAATGTGCTGTGGAGGGGCTGGCTGGGGCAGGAGGGGGCTCCAGTGCAGGACTAGCAAGCAGGCAGCCCCCACACTGAAGCACCCTCATGCTCTAGCCAGCCAGGGCAGCATCTACACATGCAGTGCTATGGAGTTTTTTACTCCACAGCTGGAGAAATACAAGCACTACCCTGCTGCAGAGTAAATTAGTTTACTCCAGCCTAATAGGGGCGCATATGTAGATATGTGACATTTACTGTGCAGCTAATTAGTCAACTGTGCAATAACTGTCTTGTGGAGTCGTGCTCAGTGAGTCTTAAAAAAACTTGACTGGATTTAAACAAGTATGAGAACATTTAATTTTATGATCTAATACTGACCATAACTTTCTAGCAAGTATAAATAAAGATCTTGATCAGAATTTATCCTATTAGTTGTGGCTAAATCTATGTTCTCTATAATGTCTGAACACCAAAAATGCATCCAATGAAGACCAACCAGTGAATGGAGACAATTGTGAAGTACAAAAAAGTGCATCTAGAATGCAGATAGAGCCAGGCCATTCTGCAATACTTCAAACAAACAAACAACTCCCCAATACATGTACTAGATGCAATACAACACTTTTCTTTTTTCTCATGAAAGGCATTAAATCATATCCATTATGTAACTGCTACTTACCACATACACTGACAAGTGTCCGCTCATATGGTCCTCTGTGTTCCTGTTTAAAGCAGAATTCCTGATAGTTGATAAATAATGAACAACTTTAACCTGGCCCATTTTTCAGGCAAAATGCTTTAATAAATGTCCATTAAAAAAAGATGTCATACATTATAGCTGTCAAAGAGCTAAGGCATATAGTTGAGAATAATAAAACATTTGATTTTAGCTTCACACATTAAAGGAGTTTCAAAATAACTTCCAGTTAATTTTTTCTTGTTTAAAACATGGAAATTCCAAGGCACTTGAAATACACAACTAGCCAATGCAACTGCTATGACTGGAGGAACACTTCTTGTAATCCAAAGATGTGCGCTGTCACTTGCATCAATTTCAAAGAGGAAAAATGATGATTAAGCAGTAGCCTTGTATTTACAAGTGACAGAATTGTTAAATTTCACTTCCATAATCACAGTAATTAATTACTGAAGTACACACCAGCTTGAGTTTCCAGTAAATGCCATGATACATTCTCTCCCACCTGAACAAAAATGTAGACAGTGAAAGTGCTGGAAAGCTTGAGTGGTTCATCCTTAATTCTTGTTCGTTTATTAGCTATAGCAGGGCCTATTTGGTGAAATAGCACGCTAGCACAGCATTATGTTCTACAGTTTATTTTGTATATGCTCTGACAACGTTACCAGCAGAAAAGGATGAGCAATCTTTATCATCCCTTCGCTCCTTTCCACCTTTAGCACTTGGTTTCTGGTGAGCAACTTTTACTAGAGGACAAAATAATCAGAAGTACAGAAACTGTACCAATAAGTAGAATTTCCTCAGGGTTATGTCAGGTTTTTGTTGTTTTCTTTTTGTTTTGTTGGTTTTTCTGTTTTTGTTTTTTGATTTGGGGGTATTTGGGGAGGTAGTTTTTTGGCACGTTGCAGAGCAGACTTTTGTAGAGATTTACCACCACAAATGCTTCTCCCTGCTTCCCTCACTTTCTTGGCTGTAATTAAAAATCCAGACTGCAATTTTCATTGGATTGCAGATGGAGAAGGGAAAACCTCCCAAAAAGGAGTGGAGCTCTGAAGTGCAGCTGTCTTCTGAAGTCACAACTTTGTGAACAGAAGGTTCACAGTCTCTGTTTCTTACATTCACAAAGGGTGGAACTGTTTACTTCAGCAACAGCCCTTTGATTGCTTTTGACTCTGGTTAACCATACAGTAATGAATACAACCCCGAGAGAGAGAGAGACTCAAACCCAACTCAACTCTATACTTCCTTGTACATCAACAAAAATAGTTTACAGTGTCCCAATTATAGGGCCAACAACGTACACCTTTGGTTCCCCACAATCTTCACCTTAAAGATCCTCCTTTCACTAGGAAAGGAGCAGAACAGAAACTATATTCCACATTAGTCTTTACTGCAGAATTGCTTGGTCTACATGAGAAGAATGTACGAAAGGGAAGTTCTTAGTTGTGCTGTCTGAAATAG